CTTTGACACACCTTACGTTCTCCACAAATCACACAGTTAGCTCAGCGGATAAGATACCATGAGGAGCCTCAAAAAGAGTGGGTTACCTAACTCATAACACCGGCCACAGCAGCGATGGGACTATGGTTTCAAGAAGTTAGATAGGGGGCAGGATGGGAACATTACCAACATTACCAGTACCACAAAGGGAATAAGAAAGGAAGAGTCACCAGACCCATAGCGCGGACCACACCGACGACGGGATATGGGTTTTGAGAAGTTAGATAGGGGGCAGGATGCATTATTGGTGGGTGGCAGGACGTGATAACGGCTTCCGGAAGGGGTTATTAACATTGGTGAAGGGAGATAAGTTGCGATACTGTGTGGGAAAAGAGCTCTAAGGATAAGTATCTGTTCGGATCCTTACTCTGCTCAGCCTGAATTTCAACACCGGTGCCCCAAGAAACAATGGTCAGAATCTTAGTGAGTCAAGTTATTCTATCCCTTAGAGATATGGTTACGACCGCTAAAATCTCGAGTTCCGACGAAAATTAAAAGCCCAGGAAGCTGCTCAACGGAAGTACTAGCATGTGAGAAATGTGAGGATAGTTCACCATGACATCGATGTTATTACCATCGAAAGTCTTTCAGCCGCTAAGCTGTCCTATTTCCAACGAATGGTGCGGGTTTCTTAGAGATGTGATAAGCAACAGACATTAGCATTAGCAAACGTTCATTAAATAGGAGAAACATAATGAAATGGGCCGCATTCTAAAAATTGTGATCGGGCGAAGTGTTTGTGGTCAATACAGAAATCCTGTCAGCGATCAGTAAAATTACCATAGGTTCAACCATACGCGCAGTATGCGCGTCAGCCAAGCTTGTTAATAATAAAATTAATGATCTATTTATTTATTTCAAGTTGCACTCAAGGTGCTTCCTGACAAAAAAAAGAAACGATCAGGTATGACACATATTACTAAGATCGTAAAAACTACTTGTCACTAAAATATCTTTGAACCACGTGCCCATATTATTGTGTTGCTCACCAGGGAAGTCCGCCAGCTTACCATGGAACTTTGGATGGAGACCCGGGTAGATCGATGGAGTCTGTAATGCTATTTACAAATAAAAAAAGGATAAAGTCTTCACCGTTGATCAATCCGTTTGTGGGATGCGGTACACATTCTACTTCCATTCAGAATCGTAGTGGCTTATTGAATGCGATGTGGCCTATACAATGACTTGCGGGGGCCAGCCGATGTACGAGTCAGTGTTATTATCCTCCCAGACGAATCTGGTGCCAATTTACCGTCCTCGGAGGGTAGAAGGCTTGGTTGGCCTGGGCGGGCGTCGACCCGGGATTCGAACCCGGCGCCGCGCGAGTGGTAAGCGCGCCACTTGTCACTACACCCACCGCCTCATTTACAATTACAAATATCGATATCAAAACTACTACCTGCATTTTACAAGTGACTTATGAGCAGGTAAATTTTGTAATGATACAGTACGGTGGATGGTTGGTGGTTAGCTATGAAGCATAAGCGAAGGATCGCGCAAGACGGAATACTACCACCCATACATAAAAACGTAGTTACGACTCATGGCAGATCAAATTGATACCTGCCGCTGCGTCATTGATTTATATTCATTACCTTTCCGCATCCTTCTCACCAGCAAAGGTGGTTTCGATTGTGCCGGCACCATTCTTGTCGCCGAACTAACACGATGCCGCAAATTGGGAGGGGAAAAATGTCTCGGTTGCTGCTATACTGCGCGGCGACGGTGTCGCATATGAAGTTGAAGCAGAAACCGAAGAAAGCTTGGAAGCCGATGTCTCCATGGAAACTGATTAGGACCACTGCGACAATGAAGATGAAGGCTGTTCCAGCAATGTTGAGATTATAAGCATGGTTTACTCTGACACATCAGCAGCAACTAGAGATAGTATACCTGCGTGCTGGATTATCTCTCTGTAGACTCATGGTCGCCCTTCCGTGGTACCGATACCATTGTAACCTGAAGGCGGGTAGCATTGTGCAATACTGGTAAAGCGTGTGGTAGAGTTTTTTATTTTTGCACCATTACAGGTTGCAAGGTCACAGCCATATTCCGGTCGGCGCTACTTCGCTCCACAACTACGGGATGTGTACTGCTCCGTTCCTACGAAAAACGAAAATGGATTCAATCAGGACTCACGCACGAACAGATCACGAGGAAAGTAAGTAAAGTATAGCCAGGTGATCATCTGTACGTAAGACGAAAAATCAGGTAAAAATCTGATTAGAATTGAAGCAAAAACGTGCGCGCTCACGGGAACTGAACCACATGCTGTGCCTGTGGGACGAAAATCTTACCAGTGAGCCACGATATGTTTTGTCATGCGCATCCTTCGCTAATGCTTCATAGCTCACCATGAACTCCACCATAATGTACAATTACAACTTCAGCTGCCTTGTGACATGCAGGTAGCGGTTTTGATATCTATATTTGTAAATAGCATTACAGACTCTATTGATCTACTCGGTCTCCATATAAAGTTCCATGGTAAGTTGGCGGACTTCTCCGGAATTAATATTATATAACAGGAAGGAGGGCCACCACAAATCAAGTTAGCCAGTTATACAGATTAGAAATTTTTTAGTGGTCAATACAATACTAAGGTTAAGTTATTTGAGAGTAAGGATATTTAATAGATATTTGATGGGAGATCGGTCTGGGCAACGCAACTAAGCGTGGATATTTCGGGGCGGACCAAAGTCGGGCTGACCCGTAAATAATGGCGTTTTTTTTTATGTGAAAAGCGAGGATGGTTTTCAATGTGTTCTACACTGTTCGATAGATAATTTTCCGCTCTATAAGGCAGTGGAATTGCCTAAAAAATTCCTACCAGTCCTTGATTTCTATCGAATTCTGCTTCACTGAACACTTCGTGTCGGGTCGATCCAAAGTGAGTATTCGACGACAACTTTCTGCACTTTTCACCGCACTCGAATCACAGAAGAAACTTGAAACTTATGATACAGATGACCAGAAGATGCATCCTATGTTAGCTTTAAAGTTCAAGCGATCAACAGCTTGCAGTTCGGACCTTTAAATATGCATCGCATGAGGGCCCGCTTGGGTAGCGACGCCTGCAAAACCTACCCACTAACTTCAGAACTTCAACTGAGGGTAATGTTTGATAAAGACGAGGAAGCATTCCACGACCTCCAGCAGTTCCTTCTTTGGCATATCTCCATGAATAAGGTGATCCAGTAAGCTCTCAGTGGAACTCAATAGGGCATTAAGTACGATGCTTGTCTGTGAGGTCTAGATTGAAATCTTCAAATACTCAAACCGTTGTAAGCATTTCTAAGAGATATAGCCTCCTGACAAGATACTTACTAGGGAAGGTCTTCAGGTCAAACTGGCCATTTGTAATGAGACGTAGCTCACTAGACGTGATTTTGGACGCTGATCTCGAATCTGTCTTCAAAAATTGCAGAGCGATTCTTTGAACGGATTATGGAGCTTTTCCACACACGTTTACCACGCAACAGTTCGTGGGATCGGATCACTGCTGGGCTTAACTTTTTTGCTTCTTGCGCAAACGTGACAAAAAGTGGTTGTTGCGTCACTACTACAGCGCTCTCCTTGACTTGCCTGAAAAACAGCTTGTTCGCTTACTGGCACACTTACTGCCTTACGATCTAGCATTTTTGGATGTACAGGTGCCCTTGGCGCGCAGTGCAGGCGTTTTCGCGCTGGGTGAGTGCCATATTCGTATTTATGTAGGCGAACTACGCCCAGGTAGAGGTTTCTAGCCAAATCTGGCATTTTGACCTGACTTCGAAAAGTGAAGCATCCATGGGTTAGTTCAGTTGATGTTCACACCTATTCAGCTGCAGATACATTCTCCTACACAAAGCCTCGTCTTGCCACTTCTTACGAATTCATGTTCTTATTTTCCTGGTATCTAAAAGCAAATTCCGTCCAAAGACAAGCAATCGACAAGAGGATGACCCTGGAACTATTGGTAACCATCGTTCGATCAACTGCTAGCGCACTTTCATAGTAAGGTCAAAACTTCACTTCTGGCTAGAAACCTGTCCCAAGGGTTCTTGCTCCCTAAACACGAATATGACACCCATTTGGCGTTTGAGTGTTTTCTAAACTCAAAAGGGACATTCCCCACAAAATGCAAAAGAAGTTTCCTTCCGTAAATTTGAACCCTGCATGGCATGCCCGCGAAGCAAGACCATCACCACTACACCATGCCGCCGTTGAAAGTGATTGTGCTTCCCGTCTATTCATGCGAATTAGCCGCCGCGCTGGACTCCGTTTTCCTTCATTTTAATTCTAACAAGCCTTCATAATTCCTTTCAGAGTATTGCTCTGCAAATTTCGAAGGCAGATTCGAGATCAGCGCCCAAAACCACGTCTACTGAGCTACATCTCATTACAAATGGCCACTTCGACCTGACGACCTTCCATGACTGGGCATGTGCTTTTTTAGCTTTCTAATTAGGGGTAAAAAAAAAGAGGAGCTGTTAAAATGCTCAACTTCGCTGACCTGACACTACACTTTGAGCACTTAAATATCAGAGGAAAGAGAGAGTTCGAAAAAACGAAGATGACTAGGGTAAAGAATTCTGTGCAAAAAAGTATAAAACCTGAATGCAAAACTTCTCGTAATTGGTGCGAAATTTCGAGTGAGAGAAAAAACCCATTACTTATGAGCCAATAATCGCCTCTCTGGTCTATAAACGAACCCCGGGCGTAAGGCACAGGCCCAAGTAACTAGTTGGATAAACGAACCGCGCCTGTTGACCTTCTACAGAACTGAGTTTTAAACGTGATGTTAAGGAAAGATATTGTAGTGAAACCAACAAAGAAAAGCGTTGGAAAAAATCCGCACTTGCAGATTGGGGTGATTTTTTGTAGGCGCCCATGCGGCTAAACTCTGCAAACACTATAGCAGTTAAGCTCAGAATATTCGATCGAATTCTCCGACTAGAACAGAGCAAGAGGAAACTTACTCTGCTATGTCCTGAGAGCCACGGTTATCGAATCTCTTTCGCACTCGTGTCAGCTCGTCGGACATTAAACTATCTAGAAGACAACAGAAGTAAAAACACAGGCACTTTATGACCACTACTAGTGCACCAGCACTATGAAAGGGCTATAACGTACAGTTTTTGAAGATGGCAGCCCACGGCCGCACACAGGCATTCCTTGCTTCGAGTCTGCTCAAAATCTCTTCCCGGAAATTCCCAGAGGAAGTTGACGGACGAAATTCCATTCCTGAAAATACACAAAATCTCGCAGCGCTACCGATACTGTACACAGACTCAAAGTCCTTGTCCCTCAAAAAAAGGGAGCCTAATTAATTTCGCCGTGGCGGCCGCTGTGCTTTTAGAGAAATGTTCCTGTGCTGGGACGACGTCATATCATTCTGCGCAATGCATTAATGGAGTACGTAGCCACGCCGTTCCCGTTTCCGAAATACAGTAAGTACATTTAGACTTACGTAGTTTGTACAAAAGTTAAACGCATTCGTCCTTGCAGTTCTTCCTGTCCTGGCTGCCACTAAGAAACCCGATACTGCGAAGGTTGAACAGCGTGCAGTCAGCGTTATTTAACGCGCATCAGACAGGACAACACCTATAGTTCTCATAAGCCACTATGTGGCTAGGACCGGAATTTTTCGAAAAACTACAGCACTTGGCTTCGTTGCGGGACCTGCGACCGCACTCCTGGCACATCATATGGCATTTCAAACTGGCCTAAGGCCGTCTGCTATAGTTCCCCTCGAGGGGAAGATATCACCGGTAAACCTCCGCTGTCTGCCGTTATTTCTATCAATGCCCATGGTCTCTCTGCTTCAGCCTCTGCATCTCTGTTCCCGCAGTCACCCAAAGATCGATTATTCTCTGCGCTGTACTACATTCCCTGACAGCGTGCGCCAAAAGAGTATGGATGCAGAACAGCGAGAGCCGGAGAGACGAGGGTCATGAGTAGAGATAAGGGCAAGGAATGGAGGATTACTAGGGAAAGTATAGCATGCGGTCCCTGATTTCGAGTGTGCACACTTCAGGATTTGGAGAAGTTGATAAATGTTCACTAGATTAAGAGGATTATTAAATAGGACGAAATGTTTTTCTGCGTTTTTAAGTCTCAGTGCTGAGTATGTACGCGCAGGTCAATTTTCTATGAGACCAGCTAAGGAAGTGTTATGTGAGCATTTCATCAGAAGTTTGAGCTTATTCACGATATACAGGAGGAAACATTGTATGCTTCCGGAACCGAATACAATTTTACAACTTGATAATTTTCGATTGCTCCAGTCAAAGGTGAAGATACAGTTTTAAGGCTAGGGTTTTTACTAAATTTGCTATGGGGTCGAACAATTTCTGGCTTGTTGCATAGTATGGAAATCTGGATTAACTCCTGAAAAAAAGGAAATGAGTATACGGATACATCATCGTTTACATCACAAGAAAGCTAAGCAGGAACCTTAAAATACTCGCATATTTGGAAGCATATATTGCCATCTCCTTGTCAGCCTCTGGTTAATAAAATATCAGTGTACTTTTGATCAAGCTGATCTTGAACTATTTCCACGCGCAGGGTTAAACCTTTGTTACTGATACTTGACAGGATTTCTGTGCTGAACAGTAACACTTAGCAGTAACACTAATTCGTATGTTTCCAAAACGGCCCATTCCATCATGTTTCTCCCTTTTAATGAACACTTGCCAATGTTAGGCTCATATCATATTTCTAGAATCGCCATTCGTTGGAAATCGGGAAGCACAGCGGTTGGAAGGATTCCGATGGTAAAAATATCGAAATCACAGTGGCTCTTATCATTCCTCACTGGGCTACAACTCCAAACCTCCTTTTTTCGGGGAACTCGCGCGTTTAGTGGTGGAAGCAATTTCGACCGCTAAACTGAGGGATTTTGCTAAGGACATCTTGACTCATTGAAAATTTGCCCATTCATTTTTTGGCTACGGTGATGTGAGCAGATAGGGACTCCCAAAAGCCCCGTCGGACACTGTCAGAATTTATCTCCCACTTTTAATGTTTCCTAAGTACCTCTGAATTACTTGCTGGAGCAGTTCCCACTGTTGCTATAACTCTGCAGTGAATTTTCCTGGCTATCTTATCAGCTGTTATCAATTGCTGCCACCCACCAATAATGTTCCCATACTGCCCCCTATATTCCTTCTTGGACCCAATGTCTCGTCATTGCTGTGGCCGGTGTTGTGAGTTGGGTGACCCTCGCTTTCTAAGACCTCCTATAGTATCTTATCAGCTGTTATCAATTCCTGCCACCCACCAATAATGTTCTCATCCTATCCCCTATACTGCCTCCTAGAACCAAAGTCCTAGCGTCGCTGTGACGCGCGTTATGGGGTCAGTGACCCTCGCTTTCTAAAACCCCCGTATGGTATCTCATCAGCTGTTATCAATTCCTGCCACCCACCAATAATGTTCTCATCCTATCCCCTATACTG